TTGACTAGGACCACTGATCCATCTTTAAGCTTTCCTCTATACACCTGCAGTTTTTTTTTTTTTTTGAGAAAAAAGAAAAAGAAAAACCATAATGAATTCCCCAACTACTACTTGACATGGAAAAGACTCAATCCTAATGGTAGTAGAATTTATTGCAGTGATGTGTGCCCATGACAGTATGGAAAATGACTGGTTTCTGCCCCCACACACACTGCTGGATTATTTCACATAGTATTGGCTGAATCAATTGAAATGAAAATGAATGGCACTCATACCCTATCTTCTTTTAGAAAAATGTTAGGGGTTTACCCCATATCCCATATGTCCCTCACCCCCTCCTTATCCACTAAAAAAGGCAAAAAAAAATAAAAAAAATAAGTAAATAAAAATCAAATAAAAATGTGTGGTGAATAAGGGGTGGTGTACATTTGGGGTACATCTTTTGGTGTACCCCTAGCATTGCTCCTTCATTTATTGTTTTTTTCCTATCTCTCTCTTTTTTTTCTTAATTAGGTTGGGGGGTTAGCATATACTACTCCCTCCTTTCAAAAATTATCTTCTCATTGCGTGTTACGATGTTGGACTGAAGTTATTTTCAAATCATTGTATATGAAAAATGATGTACCCAGTATAATTTAAAAATAAAATTATATATTTAAAAACTACATCAAAAGATCTACAAATTTAGAGGTGGCATGGCTATACTATTTTATCAAATAAGCAACGAAAATGGGTCAACAAAGTGAATAAAGTTTCACCCTGTCATATTTTTCAAGAAGTCAGTTGCATATATCAAGAAAATATGTCACTTCTTATTGACCCGTCTAAGATTAAAACTTTATTTACTTCCTTCCAGACTACCTAAATCCCTCTTCTTGTTATTTTAAAGTAGGATCATGCTACACACCCCCCACCCTTGCTACCAACCTTGCCTCCACCCACTTCTTCACCACATATTTATCTCTACGTATTCTTCACCCACCTTCTAATTTTAATTTTCTTGCCTCCCTACCACATGTTTATGTAGGGGGGCATGGGTGGTAGCAAAGGTGGGGGGTTTTTAGCATTTTTCCCTTAAAGTATGGGACATGTACCTGGTGAGATGATCCAACACCAACAAGATTGGATGGATGAAAATGGTTGGTTGCCTCCTCCATTTCCTCCGGGGTGAACACATTATATGGTGGCAACCCCATGGACACCATCCTCATCGGCCTTCTCGAATTTCCTAACCAATAACTCAAACTTGTGATTAAACGCTCAAGAAATCTTGTACATTCTAATATGCCCCTAAGACTAGTCCTGACACTACGCTGACTTAATCAAAAGCTCAAATTTATTATTGAACATTAGAAAATTTGATATACTCTCTTTTATTCATTCAAACTCCCATTAGCAGACTTCGTAACTCCAGTACCAGGTTTTCGTTAATATTTTTCTTTTACTTCTCTTGACCATCACTCATCTCGCAAAAAAATTTTGGATTTGACTTTCGTAAAGTTTTAGACTCTGTTTAGTACATGAAATTTAAAATATGAAATTGAAATTGGGAATAACAATTCAAATTCTGATGTTTGGTAACCGAAAAATATGTGGATTTGGAATTAGTAGTGCCAAAATTGAAATTGAGGATAACAATTCCAATTCCATCCAATTTTGTCAATATTGTGTACCAAAAGCACTCTTAAGAAGTATAGGAAAATAAAAATTGTGTAGTTAGAATTTCTTAATAAGAGATAAATATCCAGGGAGACATTTTTTTGCCTTAAAAAGAAAGTGATGCTTTTTTTTCAAAAGAGAAAAGAAAAACAAGAATAATTTTATGAGATGAAGAAAACACAATATTTATTACAAGAAACCAACCTAAATATATAAGACTAAAAAATGAAAATTTTAATGAAATAAGGTCTCTTACGTTTTTAACTTTTAAGGCCCTGTTTTTTGGATTGTTATTTCAGAATTGGATATTGAAAATATCTATAAAAAAAAGTTGAAAAAAACTGGAAGAAATTATGAAAAACACTAGAAGGAGTTGGAAAATGTTGCAAGAACTAGAGTGTTAAAAAAGTCACTCAATTAAATAATAACTCATATAAATATGTAAAAAAAAAATTCTAATTTTGGATTTAAAAAATTTTATCTTTTTGCGCATTTGATGTGATATGTTATAAATTTAGATATATATTGTTATTGTATATTAAACATATATAAATACTAGAAAAAGTTGAAAGAATTTAGGAAAAATTGAATAAAGTTAAAAGTTAATTTTTGGAGTGAAGAGAATACTCCTACCCCCAATTTGACATAGTATTTCTCCCATTTTATTTTAAATTTCAGTTACTCGTTTCTTAAATTTAGTTTGAAACTTTGAATGGAACTAAACGTTCTAATTTACTACCTCCCTCCCATTGTCTTTGTCAACTTTTGACTTTTGGAACTGTTCATCTAAGCACTTTGACTCATCAAATTCTCTTATAGATAAGCCTAAAAATAGTCATGTGTGATCTTGTTTGATTCGTCGGATTATTAATATATAAATTGTATAATATTTTAATATACAAATTACAATATAAAATTGATTAAAGAAGTGCATTGGATGGTGTGCTAAAAGGTAAGTGGACAAAGACTCTGGGACGGAGGGAGTAAAACAAATAAAAGGAGAGAGAGAGTGTTACCTCTTCCATCTAAATGCCTAGTGGAATTAACGTCAAAGGCGAAGCTGCTGCTCCGGCGATCATACTGTTCATCATCATCTCTTTTCCTTCCCCTCACTTTCTTGTAAACACCAATTCCCAACAACCCAACGCCGCTAACCACCGCCACAACGGCGACAATCACGCCGACGACCACCCCAAGCTTCACCGTCGCCGGCTCTCCCATCTCCCCCTTCTTCTTCTTGGGATCCACCGCAATCGCCTGCTTCGCGCAGAACGAGAGTCTGTGCTGATACTTGGAGCTCCCGTTCCCCAGGCAGTTCCAGAGGCTGATCACAGTCAGGCGATCAGCCTCTGCAGGAACTGTCCGGGGAGCCTGAAGGAGACATCCTGGGAGCTCCCCGACCAGCAAATTGTTCGAAATGTCGACGAATTTGAGGGTCCCACTGCAAGAAACAGTCGCGGGGATTTCCCCGCTCAACTGGTTTCTTGCAAGATTCATGTGCTCCAATGCTGGCAATGAGAAGAGCGAGGGAGGAACGGGACCCACCAAATGGTTGGAATAAAGGTCGAGAATTCGTAAACTGTTCATCTTCTTCAACATTTGTTCTGGGACTGGAGATCTAATTGAGTTGTTGCTGAGGACAATCTTGGAAAGGTTTTTGCCCAATGGAGGGAAGTTTGGCCCCAGGTAATTCCCACCCAAATCAAGCTCCTCCAGTTGGGACATACCCTTCAGATCTGGGACACTCCCATTCAACAAATTGTCCCTCAAAACCAGGCTCTTCAGCCTCTTGAGTTTCCCTATGGATTGTGGGATGCTCCCCTGGAGCCGGTTCGAGCTCGCGTTAAGCGACTCGAGCCCAGAAAACCGGGAAATCTTCCCGGACAAACCTCCCCTCAGACCGAGGCCCACTAAGGAGAGCCTCCTGAGGGAGGAGAGCTTGGTGAGGACGGTGAAGAGGGAGTCGGTGGAGAACTCCCGGGACAACGCCGGGGAGGGGGATTTCACCCCGGGGTCTCCGACAATGACGAGCTCCGTGACGTGGTTGCCCGAGCAGGCGACCACGAGGGAGCTCGGGTGTCGGAGGGAGCAGAAGTCCGTGGCGTTGTCCCATTGCTGGAGGACTTGTGGGTGTTCTAGAAGGCTCTTGAGCTGGAGGAGGATTCTTTTCTCTGAAGGGGAGAGCTGTGCATAGGAGAGTGGGATTTGGAGGGGAAGAAATAGTAGTAGAAGAAGAAGAGAAAGGATGATGAGTGGGAAGGGGAGAGGGGATTTCATCTTCTTTCTTCTTTTTTGTTGTTATAATGAAATATGAAAGAATCTCAAGCTGCCATTGAAAGATGTATTTAGAAGAGCTTTTTAGCATATGATTATGTATAATTATGGGTGTGGTTTTCCCAAGAAAATGAAATGAAAGTGAACCTATCTAAGAGGGAATATATAAAAAGAAATTTTGTCAACCCAATGATAGTAATAATACTCCACCTCGCTTCTCATAATTTTTAATTTTTGATTTATGTATTTTTATTAATCATTTCATAAAATAAGAAAATTTCATTGTCTGTTTAATTTTGTAAAACTTTTGATATCGTTTTACATAAGTTGTACTTTCATTTTTATATTAATTTGTAAATAAGATTATTTTAAAAAATATTAGATTTTATATGTTCTGCAAATGTTCATGTTCTGCAAATGTATACCAGCTTAATAAACACATTTTTTGGCGGTGTGAAATGATCATGCTTTGATAGTTAGATACATGTTATATTGGATATGATGGCAGTGTGTTATTATGCCTATGTTTTGAAATTGCATCCACACGAGTTCCAATATCCCATATCTCATAGCAGTGCTATATTGGGTATTTTAAGCTTATGTTAGTGCTATGACGGTACTTCCCCCTGCAAAAATGCATACGCCCTCCATTCTAGAGTACTTGTCTATTTTTGACTTTTCCAGTCAAAATTGGTAAACTTTGACCCCAAATTAAATAAAAATGATATTAGATATTGATACAAAAAATATTTTTATTGGGTTTATTATACAAAATATTTTCAAAATATTATTTTATCTAACCAATATACAATATATGTTTTATTTAACTATAGGTCAAAAATTTTAAATGATTGACTAAAAATGTCATAATTGGACTAAAAGGAAGTAGTAATATTTTTTAATTAAAGGATATACTGGTTAAATAAATACTGTGGTACTTACAGGCTGTTGTACTTGATGAATGATGATGTTTGTTCTTTTAAGGCTATGGAGTTTGGAGGGTGCTTGAAGGTGTGGGAGGTGTGTTTGGATCGGGACGCGGTGGGGGTTTACCAGGGAGTTAGAGAGCGTAAGAATTGTTAATTTTACGAATGGAGCACCGTAGCGACCATGGATCATCCGATGACATGAGATTCTAATATCATGAAAACCCCTCTATTAGACTATTACATTTTCTCTTGCAAACTTAGAAACACGTCAACTTTTTTTCTTCGCTAAATCTTCTTTTGAGGGTGTGGATCTCTTCCAATGCTTTCTTTTCTTTTGTTATATTCTTTTTTTAATTAAAAATACTTAAACTAAAAACATACTCCCTCCGTCCTATAATAATCTTCCCGGTTCGCAATACGAAGAAAAATCCCAAGTTTTTTTAATCTATTTTATTTAAATATTGGTATAAAAATAAAAAATAAAACATACATATTTAAAAACTACACCAAAAGTTCAACAAAACAAGTGGTGACAAGAATATTTTATTTTATCATATAGGCCATGAAAAAACACAAATAAATATAAATTCTCGTGAAGTTGGAATAGTGCTCTGGGAAGATCATTATAGGACGGAGGGAGTAAAATAAATATTGTCTAATATTAAATATAAAATTACGTATGAAAGATTCAAAAGTTTATTTTAAAAAACTACTCATCATCATTTGGAATAATTCTAAAATTAAATCACAAGATAATTTAAAGTACATAATTAAATTTATTTTTCATTGATTTTATTGTTTTTTAAATTTTTTTAACATTTAACTATCCCAAACAACTCAAAAATTTAACATAAAAATGTAAAAAATGTAAAATTTTAAAGTAAAAAAAAATAGAAGGGAAGAAAGAAAGATACTCCGTATATTGTTAGAAAGAAAGAAAATGACAACAAAAGACGAGCAAAAAGGCAAAAAAAAGGGCGGGATCACCATGGTGGGGAATCCTCCTGTCCCATCCTCGGGAGAGGGACACTGTTCCCGCCAATCCCGACGCCGATGTGGCGCACACGTTGTCCATCTCGTTCCATCTCATCGCACCACACACCATAGCCTAATATTCATAAGTTTGCAACGAGACAAGAATGGATACTTATATCGCCACTAGGCCATAAGCCATAGCCTAAGTTAGGGGCTGTTTGGTTCAGCCTCTTAATGGTTCAGATGTCTGAATGATTCAGCACTTAATGGTTCAGACTGTTTGTTTCAGCCTCTTAATGGTTCAGATGTCTGAATGGTTAAGAGATTTGCCTCTGAATGGTTAAGTATTATACAGAGTCTGAATGGTTAAGAGCTGTTATCTGAATTGATCAGACATTTGCCTCTGAATAGTTAAGCAATATACTAGCTCTTAATGGTTCAGACCTCTTACTGGTTCAGCACTTAATGATTCAGACCTCTTATTGGTTCAGCACTTACCCATTCAGAAGTTGCCAAACAGCCTCTTAGTTGTTACTATCAAAATGTGGGATGATTATTCTCTGGAGTGCCGTTGTTGCGCGTACGTCTTTTATCCAAGAAAATCCCACCATGGGGAATGATTTGGTCTATGCTCTTTTCAGAACTCAAGAGAGTAAAGTGTTGAATTGGCTCAGTCAAAATTGATTTTATACCCATCATTGTTATGTCAAAGTTACAACCAAACCATACACTTGTTGGTTAAGAATGCATAATAATATTGGTGCACCATTTTTAAATTTTGCCGATTGCTTTTTTATGAACAATCTTTTTTAACTCTCGAAGCACTAAAGATAGTTTGACATTGAGATGACATTATATCATTTCGTTTTTAAACAGAATGGTCGTCCCTCTGATGATTTAGGTGTAAACTGAACCGAGCTACTTGGAATAGTAATAATACACTACGAGTTTATGAAAATATGTCACGGAATTGTCAAGGATTGAGAAGCTACTATACACAGAGTGGAGAATATTTTATATTAATGTTGTAATTGACTCATTGAACCTTATATGGCCGGCCAAACACAAGAAAACAAACCATTTTGTTGTCCCAAAAGCAAACATTGAATTTGGTTTCCGGATTTAAGGCGGCGAGGAGCAATAGCAACTTGTCATTTTAAAATGCTATACTACGCACTCACTCGTCCCCCTATATTTGTCCACTTTCATTTTTGCACACCATCCAATGCACTTCTTTAATCCATTTTATCTTGTAATTTGTATATTAAAAAATTATAAAAATTATATATTAATAATCTATATGTTAAGACAAATCAAACAAGATCACACATGACTATATTTAGGCTTACACATTGAGAAAATTTGATGAGTCAAAGTGCTTAGATTAACAATTACAAAAGTCAAAAATGGACAAATACAGAGGGACGGAGGGAGTACTAGCTAAGAAGTATTATTATTTTTTTTGAAAGTAAGTTAAGGAGTATTAATTCATACCACATGGGTTGCAGCCTTTTTTACATGATTGGTCATTTTTTTAAAAATAAAATGTTCATCTCTTTTTTTTGTTTGATCCTGTAATTGTCTTATTCTCCTTAATTTGTCATTAAAGAATGCTAATTTATATTTAACAACTCTTTTTTATTTTAATACTCCCTCCATTCTAAAAAGTCCTTCACATTTCAAAAAATAGTGTCCCACAATCTCATTTTCATTTCTATTAAAAAACTATTTTTATCCCTTACTTTTTCATACCATACCTATCACATCATATATTTTTTCATAATAATCTACACATCACATTCTACATTTACTCATCACATCAATGATATTTTTAGAAAGTCAACGCAAAATTATCATTCCCTTATTTTGTCACTTTACTCAAATGTCCTTCTCTTTATGGGCGGAGTGGGTAATACATACTCCGTATAAAGTAGAGCAAATTAATTGTAATTGCGCCAAGTGCTATGCCATGTGTAGCCACGTAAGTTTTGTTCTACCAAATATCATTTCATTTGCTCTCTCCGTCCCCAATTTGATTACAAATTGCGGATTACGAAGTAAAATTTCCTACTTTTTGAAATCATTTTATTTACAAATTGGTATATCAATAATAAATAAAAATTACATATTAAAAAACTAGGTAAAAAATTCTACAAAACAAGAGGTGACAAGAATATTTTATTTTATCAAATACTTAATGAAATCGCGTAAACAAACAAAAGTTATCGAGAGGAGAAAAAAAAATTTCTAATCTATTTAGGGGCGGAGGGAGTATTTTTTTATGTCATGTGTTGCCAAATTTCATGATATGTAATGATATACTATATATTTTTATGGGCCTGTTTGGGAATAACGTTAAAGATTAGCGTTAGCGTTTTGGATAAAATTTTAACGGTGCAGATTAATTTGAAAACGCTAACGCTAAACGCTGCCCGTAGATAGCCTTTTGAAAACGCTAACGCTAATCTCTAACGCTATTCCCAAGCAGGCCCTATGACAACTTTAATCTTACAATTTTTCTATTTTCGTATTACACTTGATTTTTTAAAATAAGTTTTTTTATGGAGTAAGAAAATTCATTACAATTACTCGTAAAATTTTATGTATTTGTAGATAAATAATTTGTTCTTTTATAATACATTTTAAAAGTCATTTTCGATAATGCCCTAACACTTATGGTAATAATACAGAGTATGTGTTAACTATTAAATACTCCGTAACTATTAATTTTATTAAGTTTTTACGAAACATTTTACTTACTAAGTATTTTAAAAATTTTATTTCATTATCATAGCATATTCTTGAAATATGTATAATTATATTACTATTTTTAAAAAGAAGTAAAATAGTTTTTTTAACTAAATAACAACATTTTGTATATATTTTAAAAGTATCCACAATTTATTTTATCTTAGTAATTTTAAAATACTAACGAAATTAGAGAAAGAAAGTGATAGTGACAATAATACTTTATTTTATCAAATTGCTAACGAAATTAGAGAAAGAAAGTGAATGAAGCTTGACCATGTGAATAGTGAACATACACTATAAATTGGAACGGAGGAAGTATGATAAAAAATTTATCATATATACATCTTTATATAAATTAAAGGATTTATATAACACATACGTAGCGTTAAACAATTATTAGAAAATTAAAATAAAGACACTTACATTTAGATAATGTCAAGATTTCAAAACGGATACGAGTCCATGCGAAGCTCAGGGTTAACACTGATTTTTATTAGAATGATGTTAATTTGTGTGCTATTATCATTAATACTCTTGAAGTCATTTAGCCCTCCTTGTACAAAAAAGACCAGTACATAAATGAAATATCCCAAAGTCATTTAGAGGATGTTTAAAAATGATTAACTCATCTTGTTTGTCTCAAGAAAACAGAGTCGCATTCCTCAGTTTGCCTAGAAATAGTCAAGCCAATTCCACCATTTAGGAATTTTACATGAATTCTTACAATGCCTATAATTATAATACCAGTAAGTAAGAAGAGCCTAACAATGAGAAAACATAGACGTTTCTAATGCACTGCAACTTCTAAGAGTTTTATACTGTAGCATGAGCTAGAACTTGTTAGGATAAAGCTATTTGTATCCCTAACTTTTGTACCCCATTTTGTATACCGCAGGTTTGCACCGACATTTTGTGTTGGTGTAAAACTAACTTTTGTTAACGCACCAACACTTGTATCGGTGTAAACCATCAAAATGTTTGTGTACAACTGTGGGGTAAAAATGAGGTACAATTCTTGGTGTAAGTGTAGCATGGCCCGAACATGTTATGACCCCTAGAAGCTTAAATGTGCAAGATACCTTAAGAAAATAAAGTCACTTTTCAAACGGTCCCTACGAGAGATTCATAGAAACTCCCAATGAGCTTGAAGGAATGATACGGGCACCGTAAGGAGGTCGGGTAATACAGAGCATCAAAAGTCAACGTCAATTTTTTGAACGGGGCACCATAAGGGCTACAAACAAAGCCTATGTCATAGGATGATGGCATGGGAGGCTAATGTCAGCAGAATGCCCCCACCCCAGCCCAATCCAAACCCACGGGCACATCCCCTTCAACCCCAAATTTAATTGACTTTAGGTCTTGTTTGGTAAATGGAATTCAAACTATGGAATTAGAATTGAAGACTTCAATTCCAATTCTGGTGTTTGGGAACACAAAAATTATGTGGATTTAGAATTGATAATGCAAAAAATGAATTGGAATTGGTGAATTCAATTCTATGGAATTGAATCTCATGGAATTTCAATTCCAATTCAATTCCAATTCCATCAATTCCATACACCAAACGGACCCTTAGAGTAAAAAAAATTGACCCCAAAGTCAACTAAATCTGGAGGGTGCGGTGGTGGGTTCATGTGGGGAACTGAATGAGGGGTAGGAACCGTCAATTTTCTGAACGGGACACTGTAGGTGCCCCAATAGGGTTCAATGTCATCCCATGACATTGAAACCCAATGTCAGGGGAACTGGCCCTATGTACTTTTTGCCCCCATTGCCTGAAACTTTACCTTACCAGTTACCGACCCTTAAACATTTTTCATCAATTTGTATCTAATATATCAACAATCAATCAGCTTGATAAGCTCATTACTTATGTCATTAGTTCAACAAATATAGACTCCTTATGTATGCATCAAAATCATACACAAGGAGACTCTTGACAGAAGTGAATTGCCCATTGCACTAAAGGTCTGAAGTTCTGAACCACAAGAGAGCAATGGGTCTTACCACCGTTACAAGTAAAACAAAGCTACAAAGAGTCTCAGAAAAAAACTTGTTTAGTTGAAAAAGTCGCTATCAAATGAATGCACTTATGATAGCATTGGAAACTGTGAGTGGGACATGCACCAAGGGATGTAGAAACCTTACAGTGCACAGTAACTAAACACCGCGGCCCAGATTGGCGAGAAGCTGGTGCCATCTAGGAGTTTCTTTGTCAAAAATGTAGGTCAACGGGGAAATTAGAACGCCACTGCCTCCAATCTGAGCGAGCATCCAAAAAGCATTTTATGAGATGCTGCAATGTTGCACAATAAAGAAAGAAAACGGAAGCAATCTGGTGTGCAGAAATGACCAGTACTCCATCTGGGTATATAAATGGTAGTTGACTAGTTGTTGAAAACTTGAAATATATAGAGGGACAGATTTCACCCCTCCGTCCATTAGTATTCTGAGCTAATTACATACTCTTGTAGTATAAATAGTAAAAAAAATAAGGTTCATTTTGTAACTTAGGAAAAGAATACTCCTCCGACATTATTTTATAATTTAACCTTGAAATTCCGTTCCAAAATAATGGTTGCTTTAAGTAATTCATGATATAATTTGTACTATTCCTTCTTGGCTTCTTGAAATAATATTTTTAAGCTAGATGACTAGTAATTGCAAGAGTTAGCAATGAGGAAGAGACCTCAAAGATATTACAAACCGAAGTAGATTAGTCCTTTTCATTGTGTGAAACTTCCTAAAATGACAAATAATTTGGGACGGGGGAATTTAAGGGCTGAATCTTTGCCAAATTATAAAATAAAAGCATGTGTGTGGCTTAATATCTTTTAAAAGTATATAATGATATGTGGCACATGAATCTCACCTCTCGCAGCTGCTGCACAGATTCATACAATGCCTTCTTCGGTACACATATGACTATTGCATAGTAATCTGCAGTTACTTGGCCATTTCGTTTGCAAAATACTGGACTTACTGTGGGCCCCTACATTTATTTATATGAACAGGGCATGCCTAAGTTAGTCGAGAATTGAGTAGCTAACAGTTTATGAAGTGTGATTACTATCCCTCTGTCAAAGGCTAGTAAGAAAATTTGTTGCTCTATTAAAAAACTCTTCAGTAACCATCTTAGTCCGTACCTGCAACCCTGACAATGAATTTCGGCTCAGTACGCGCTCAGCTACTTCCTCTGCAGAGTTTCCCCTCATGTTGGCAGTTACCTGCCATGAAAATTATCAAGAACCAATTGTTTTTAGAACAAGTGAAATGTTGGGAGGAGATTTTACACACTGTGAATTGACCCGAAGCACGCAAATGAGCCTCCAGCCTTTCAAGCATTTCATGTGTTATATCTAGCACATCCTTACGTATTAACGATTTCCTGCTAGCAACAAGGACCGCCTGTGCAGAAATATTAATCAGAATAGGTCCATCAGGTGTTTTACTAATATGTCATAATGAGGGCATGTGACTAATGACTATGCAGACTTTTGGAACTCTACAGCCCTTGAAAACGTGTCTGCCCGTGCAAAAAACATGTTTTAAAATGATACTATTAATATTTTATAACATAATACGGTGCAATGTCCCTTTGACCGCATTCTCTCCTTAAAAAATGATACTATTACGGAGTTATATTTTATAATGATTTTTCTAGTGTTTTATAATGGTGGCAATGATCTTCGGAAAAGAATGAGGTCAAAGGGTCATTGCACTTTATTATGTATTATGTATACTTAAAAGGGTTTTGCAAATGACAGTCAGGAGCATTTGTTACCCAAAAGTGATGGCCTATTAATATCTATTTCTGACATTCACACACACACACAATCTTTCCCCATGAAATATTATCAATAGTGCATACATATATTTCAAAACTCTTTCTCTTCCCCATTAAATTTAGTCTCAATCAATAACTTTAATAAACACTCCACATTGACATTAGCAAAACCCATTAGCATTAGAGGCTGAAAATTACCTGACTTTGCAAGATGACTCCACCTGCAATCTCTTTCAGATTGTTCTCTCTCAAAGTTGTTCCACTGCTCACAAGGTCTACAATTGCATCGGCTATCCCCATCTATATTAGGAAGAAATGAGGAAATGACAACAGCAACAACAACCTACCCGGTGCTGTCCCATAAATTAGGGAACCATGATAGATTTGAAAAAAATTACATATTCAAAAGAAATTGTAAGTGCAATTATCTCCGAAGATCACCAAAAGAAATGCTGGAAAAGAACAAATGTGATAAAACTTCAAAGAGCAAACCATAACATTTAAAATAGAATTGACATATTTCTTTGATGCTACAAATATAGCAAAAACAAACATGGCTCTTAGGCGAGTCTTAGCATCAAGAGTAGTAATTGATTCGTGAAAAAGAGAAGAAATATTTCATTTATGTTTGTAGTACAATACAAACAGTCAATCTCAATAAGACAGAACTTAAGAAAACTGAATCTGTTTAAAATAGGTAAATTTGGTCTTACTGCTGGAGCAGCCTCCAGTGCTCCATCCGCAGTTGAAAAGATAACGTGATTTAGTCCTTTTTCATTCATAAACTTGGGCCCCATCTGCGAAAGAAATGGAGAATGTTAAGGGAAAAATATCATCAAACTTAAAAATAATAATTGTGACCACAATAATATATACTCCGTATCTGGGAAAAAGAAGATGAATATGTCACATTGCAGTACACCATACATATGTGAAACCCGTAGCTACTCTCAAGGGTCTCTCAGGCGTCCAATGTGGCATTTCTGCTAGCTCCTTCAATGAGTTCACATTCTCAAAAATTCCATACTTTGGTATCTGCAGATACGCACATGTATTTCCAGTCGCACATCATTATTATTGGAAGAATAGTAATAGTGATTGGAATGCACATAGCATGACACAATTTGAATGTTTTTCTATAAAGAGCTCATTGTTACTCACAGCTAGAGATAACCGACAATTTCCATATTCTAGAGCATCATGAACTATAATGAGATCTTCATTCCCCTGCCAAGAAGATGTCAAACAGTCTGCAAAAATCATAATGGTTCTACTAAATAACAGAGCATGTAGTCGAATTGACTCAAAAAGAAATCATAAACATCAGTTTGTGCAGACAGAACGGATGTGAAAAAAATCATGAATTATAAATCGGCCAATACAGCATGTTACAAGAGAACTCCCATTTCCCAAATATAGATCTTCTTGTTTCCAATCCAGCATGAAACTACACTTATTCAGGGAAAAGATAACTCGTGTCATTATCGACATTCAAATCTTACCTGTCCATATTCAAAAAATGTGTCCAGCCCAACAATACCAAGATCTAAATCACCAGAAACCAACTTCCGCACAATGTCTTTTGGCCGTTGATACCAAACCTCTAAATTTGAGATCTGGAAGGACACCCATAAAAGTCGGGACCGGAAAAAATCACAAAGAATATATTAGCCAACAAAACCGTAAAAACATACTATCAAGTAAAAATGCAAGCAACAAACAATCACATGGTGCATATTTTTTTTATGTCTGTTTGGTTTGACATGTAGAGGCATTTTCAGTTTTTTAAGAAAAAATATTGTAAAAAATTAAAGAAACCAGACCAAATCAAAACTGCACTTTTCTCCCGGTATCATGAAAGTTACATATAATGTAATATACTAATATGGTACATATATCTTACACAAACCATCAACTTTGAGGTGTTTTGTTCAGCTGTTATTAGCACATACCCTCAGGCACCATCGAGTCCTTTACGGAATGGAAATAAATTGTATCAAGAACATTTTTCATTGTTTGTGTTTGGTAAGCGGAAGAGAAGTCAGGAGACCTCTGTCCAGAAATTGGCTAAGAAACCAAATGTGGCCTCCAACAATAATTTCATGCATAATGATTGGATAAGAAGTCTTTAAATACCCAATATACTTGTTGGATTTTCTGAATATGCAATGCCTCATAGTATCCTATCACATTGAAATCTCATTTCCTTTTGAACAAAGTAAATTATACAGATTACAGCATTGAAGACATGCTGCTTTCATGTTGAAGAGTCTATAACGGTCCAAGTGTCAATGTATTTAAATATTTAATGAAAAAAAAGCCTCCATTCTTGCCTACGTTTCGCACTACCAATTTCTTCAGGACTTCGCAAATTATCAGAATTAACTTAAAGTGGCAGCCAAACGTGAGAGACTCAATGACAAGTTGGAGTTGTGGCGTCGCCTAGAATCTAAAGGCTTCAGATTTTGCAGGACTGAGATTGAGTACTTAGAATGTTGCTTGGGTGGTCAGGTGACGAAATCGAATTCGGAAGTTAGGATTGATTCTCAGTGCCTAAGAAAGATAAGTTTTGGTATCTTGATCTGGTCATTAAGACAAATTGGGAGATAGAAGGGGATGTTGTCCATCGTATTGGAGTCGTTTGGGAAAAGTGGGAGCTGGCTTCTTTTGGGTCCTTTGTGACAAGAAGCTTTCAGGCAGGATGAAAGGGAATTTCAATTGGTCCGTAGTCAGACCAGCTATGTTTTATGGAGCAAATTGTTGGACGGTTAAGAAAACTCATGTTCTAAATCCTTAGTTTGCTCTTTGCTGCTTTGTTTCTGTGTTGACTAAAGAATGAGTATCTTGGAAACATCCTCCCTACTTTCGTGTGGAACACACACTCTCTCCATACCCTACTTCTCAGGGATTCTTTATTGCTGTTGTTTTAGCCAAGCCCCACAAGTAAATCAATCTCAGATAAGGAGGAAAAACCTAGTGGTTAACCCCAAAAGCATTATACTCACACAACCAAATCATAAAATGAAAGGTCAGTTCACCTGAGGAATCGCCGCAACGTACTGCCTTGGATTCACTTGCTTCACTGACAATTGGCAGTCCTATCAATCACCATAAGAAAATAAAAAACAAAAAAAAATACCTAAATGAGAATGAGAAAGATGGATCCAAGCGGGTGATGGCAAATATACCTTGAGAAGATCGAGAGTATCCTCGGCCAATCGACCTTTGCTAGGCAAGCCAAGGCGAACCTCATTCCTCTCAGCAGATCGCCGCTCTACATTCCCGTTAACCACGGTAACCGGCGACGCCTCCGAGCAACACTTAACGGTGAATTTCAAGGACGGCTTGCAGCCATTATTAGCAACTGGAGTAGAAATCGAAGAAGGCAGTGGAGGCGAGAGAGCCGAAATGGATGGAGAGCATTGAAGAAGAAGAAGAGCTTGAATCCCTGGCATGGTGAAAAATACACAGAGGCGAAGAATAGGCGTCGGTGTGGGTTCTACGAGCGGGCTGTGGACCTGTGGTGCTCTCCTTGCCTCTCCTGTTATAGTGTGGTACTCAGCATTGATTTAGGTGGTGTTCCAATAATCAAATACTCCACCCCTCTCTCCAAAAATGCAAGCAACATTTTGAATGACATCTTTTAAAATCATTTTATTTATAAATTTGTATAGAATTAACAATTACACCGTTTAGAAATAGATCAAAATTTCTACAAAACAAGATGTGACAAAAATATTTTATTTTATCAAATAATAACCAAAACAATTAAATAAACAAAAGTTATTGAGACTAAAATAGTAACTGCTGATTACATTTTGGGATGGAGGAGTATTATACGACCTCCACCCATTAGACTATGGGGTGTGCTCCATGCATTCCCTTCTTCACCCTTCTTCCAATTCAACGTTACATCCGTTTTTTTCCTTCCATTTACTTTTCCCTTCCATGGAAATGCTTTCCTTTTCCCTTTCAATTTTTAATATTATTTTTTAATACTTATTTTAATTCAAAAAAATAAACTAAAAGCAATAAAATTATAAAACAATCGAACATTCGCAACGAAATCGGTCCTTGATTGTAAGCCGCAAATGAAGGAAATGGAGAGTCGGAGAGAGGCACTGGTGGTCATAGTGGATCCATGGTACTCAAATATATGAAAATTATTTAACAAAAATAGCATTGTAACTCAAAGAAATTGATGGAAAGTGTGTGAAAAATATGACTCAAGTGTTGTGTTTAATTAGTGAGAATTTTGAAATTTTTTTAATTTCTTTTGTTAGTCCGCTATTTTTCAAAGAAAAGAAAAGAAAAGAAAAGTCGAATGTTGACCAACGGGAAAAACGGGGAGGGAGCCACACTCTTTCTGTTCCCACAAGGGGGCGGTGTTCCCTTTCCCTTCCCGCAGCCAGGTCAGCTTCCCGGTGCACATCCCTTAGGTTGATACAGTCACCACCCATTTGTTATCTCGTCTATCTATAATTAAATCATGATTTAAAATCTTTCGAGATAATTTCGTTTCGGATTTAAGACCACATAAAATTTCTTCCTGGTTTCAAAGCTCATACTCGGAGTATTATATTATTATCTTCAAAACTTACCAAACACGTCTTGATTAGAAAATTTCAAATACCCGCACAAAATACTTTTGAGATTCAATAAATAATGACACTAATAAGGTTTTTATAATGTTTATACTCTGTATATAATTACATGGGTGTTTCAATACTGACATATATCTTTAATAATTTGGGCATAGTTATAAGGTTAGCGAGAGTAGGCTCAGTACTGGCCTTGGGTAGCTGCCCGCTGAACTCCCTGACACAATCTAACAGTAATTTTTTTGATTTTTTTCCCTATTTAAACATTACCATCTTCTCCAACATTGTCCATTCCCACTTTAATATTTCTACTTTTTTAAACACTAATAACTCTATTACAATGTAGTATGTATTCATATATTATTAACTGATTAAAGACATAAAGTTATTACCATCACTAGAGATCGAACATGTGATATTTCATATTAGAGAGTCAACATCATGTCGCTGGACCACAAGGTCATTGTCTACTCTCTTTTCTCTATTCTCACATCTTTGTTAATATTTCCTTCTCTACTCTTATCAAAATACACCTAACCAACTGAATCGCCTGCAATTTCAGTTCCCGGGTACTCTCGAATTTTAGTCATACTTGGATCAATGGCAATCGAACTAACCATACCAACCGAACCATTATTTTTTATGCATGTATTTTCTATTTTTATATTTTAGTCTCCCTTTTTAATGCACTTTTTTAATAAAACATTGACGATATATTTTTTTAAATATGTTTGAGTTTTTTTATTTATTTAGTTAAATAAATCTATTAAATGAAAATATTATGAAAGTAGTGTTTAAAAACAAAAAAAGATAATATTCACCTCATCAAATAACCTAAATAAATATTTGGAACGTAGTTATAAAGAACATATATTAATTCTACAAGCAACCATCTAATATATGAAAATTTTGAAACTCTTGATGTCATTTTTTTGAATTTCACTGCTTATGTAAAATGGAATTCACTTGTGTATTGGTAGTTTAGTTCTCATGCCAAACATGGCCTTAATTACTCCATTAGTTTCCAATTTGCAGTGACGTAGCGAGGCTTTCTCGGCGGCGGAACCATTCCTTCACAGGTATCCTCAAATCCACACCCAATTCTAGAAGCACAGAGATGCTGGGGTTAATTCTCCGGGCAGCCGCTACATCTCCGGCCGCCGCGAAATCGCAACCCGCCGTCTCTGATGTGCTTATCCCCGCCATTGCCTCGTTATCTCAACACCTGTCCTCTTCTAGAGCTTTCTCTGCGTCAGCCGCGAAACAAAGCTTGCCGAAGGGAAAGAAAGGAACTCAGAAGGGATTTGAAGCACCCGGAGGATCCTTGGAGGCCGAAACCATCAACCGCATCAATGACGGAGCTCGCCTGCGCGCTCTAGCAGAAGACGAAAAGGATGCATCGCTAGATGTTGGCCCGAATCTGCAGCCGCTCTTCACCTCTGCAGCCTCTCTCTCGCAGCTCAGCAAAAAAGATACTTGCACTTACATGAAATTCAGGTTTCCCCCCTTCATTTGTGTGTCTCTGTATGCGCATTTGTTGTTGTATTGATTGAAATTGCGGTGTAGTATAGAGGAATTGGAAGCAGTGTTGCCTGAAGGATTGCCAAAGGGAATGCTGAATGAATTTGAGGACTCGAAGCGAAATGCATTGCTCATACGGCAGAGCTTTCTGGATCTCCGAGATAATTTCAGGCGGATTGTTGATCCTACTATACAGACTAGTGTGAAAGGTTTGGTTTTTTCCCCCACTTTCTTTTCTTTTAGTGGATCTCACTGTTTATATGCATCCTTGGTGTAACGAAGAAGGAAATTCTGCTAAATTTTTGTGAAACATTTCAACAAATAAGGAAGTGCAGACCATTACACCTTTCAAAGAAAAGAAACCATTCCGGATAGTTCCATTGAAAAGGATAACACATTCCACACAGATCGTTCACGGTTTAACCCTAAGACCTGTTAATTTTAGTTTGTCTAAGTGGGGATAACTTTGTGGCCGATACTTAAGAAGTGCATTCAAGATTGTAGTCACATGCTTGACTTCAAAGCTTCTGTTGCAAGGTCTTCTCAAAATGGAGAATGCCTCTCCCTTACCCATTTCCTAGTTTTCATCTGTTTATGTGCTGAAACTCTCCGTTCTAACCAGTTTCTGGATAAAAAGCCTTAGCTCTCATGAAGGTCAATTGTAAATTGTATAGGAGTTTCATTAACAAGTGGTCCATAAAACAACCAACCCGTCCCCAAGTCTAACTCACAAAAAATAAATATAAAAACACCACCAATAGTAAAATACTCAGAGGCCACTAGGCTAATACTCATTCACATCTTACACATGATGAGATCCTAAAGAACTGTCTTTTGCAGCTACAAGTCTACAATGCCATTCTTACTGGACAAAGATAATTATTGACCCCATGAAATGTTACTTACTCTATGTGCCTAACAAATCATATGTTGATTCTTCTTCAATCACATTAGTTGACAGAATACACAATTAATATGACCTCCACCCTGCATAGTCCTGCAAGCTGCGTTCCAGAATATGAAATTTATTACACCACATTAAGCAAAGAACCATTAAAATAAAAAATAAAAAAGGAAAGATGTGTTATTCTTTCAAAGACTATCACATATATCTCTGTCCTCAAATTGCTCTGTCTACAAACCAAAAAGAAACCATCGGTTTTGTTGTTTAATATTTATAATTTGTATTAATTGTTGTCAATATTTCTCTCTTTAAGTATTAATCTATTTTTAAATACTAATAATGTTTTTAAGTTATGTTTTATTAAGATATTTCGGTAGTCTGTGTTTTTGATTAAATTTTATAATACATTATCAGAGTCTAAACTTTTTGAATTATAGTAAATAATTTGATATGTTTATACTAATGTTACTAATGTACTGTAGTTCTCATTTATGTCTAGTCACCTAATTCCCACCTATATGCTCACCTAGGTGTCCTGGCAGTACACTAATGCCGTGTCTCGCTTGGCGCCGTTATACCTATGCCATATACATAACAACTATTGCAATCAAAACATTGTTACAGTTAATTAGTACAATATATTTTATGCCACCACCCACCAGACCCCATCTAGTTGGGATCAAGGTGCTGAGAATAATGATGATACTTAAAAAGTATTTACAATTCCTGCTCTTATTTGTTGATTTTGATTTTCCCTCTTCTTATTTTTGTCTAGGCTGAACACTTTTCCTTGTTCCTTTTTTTATTTTTCCATTTATGGAATCTAGACATATGAATGATTTTCCCCAATCTACCTGTCTTATCCTATTCAATATTTCAATTTATCCTTTTTCCCAAAAGAAACATTCATGAGAGAGTGTTATTTAATGAGGGCTTATAAGACAAGGTAATAAAAGTTGTGACTAATTTTTCATTACAATTCACTCTTTTGAACTGTGATTTTGTTGACCAAGAGTCCAAGACAGGTAGCAGAGGGAGTATATTGTTTGAAAATTTCTAACTGTGTGTAGTACATGTGTGGCGCTAGTAACAGAATGAACTAATACGAAACGCAATACACTTTCATGTGTTGTGCAGTAGGTAGTAGTTAGGATGATTCATTGAGATGGTCTTCAAAGTTCAAACTTGCAGGTTCTAAACCTCGGAAACAGATTGTTTTAGATGGTCCTGTGAGCTGTGGAAAGAGTATTGCTCTTGCAATGCTTGTTCACTGGGCACGGGAAGAAGGATGGTTGGTCTTCTATGTTCCAAGAGGCCGAGAATGGACTCATGGAGGATTTTTCTATAAAAATCTTACAAATGCTTTATGGGATACTCCTGCTCATGCAGCAAATATTCTCAAGGCAAGGATTTTAATCTTTCTAATAGATTGCAATAAAATTATCTTATTATTTGTGGGCGCTTGTGTTCCATCAATGCCAATATATTCTCAAGGCAGTTTTTCTACTTGTAATTTGATAAACTGCAATAGCATCATTATCAGCAATATTTTGATCTCTTTGGTTATATATTTGGCTACAGAGATCTAGTACTTTTAGTTCAGCAAGTTAAAAT